GAAGGGCACATGAGCAGTAGTGGTAGCTGGACATGGTCGAGCAGCTCAGGTAGCCACAATGGCATTTCCAGTGAGATGATGGACAAGCTGATGAAGGAGGGCCACATGGGCAGCGGTGGTTCTTGGACGTGGTCAAGCAGTTCAGGTAGCCATGGTGGAGCAGGAGGAGGCGGGTCCTTCAGCTGGTCAAGCAGCTCAGGAAGCTCTGGTGATATTTCGCAGGAAATGATGGACAAGATATCACAGGCCTGGCAATGTTCATCATTGTAGGAAGCCTTTGGTCAATTGATGATGCACACCACAAGACCTACATTTCAAGTGGTTGGGGACAAGGATGGTAACCTCGGAGATGACTACTTGATGGCCAAAGCTTCGTTTTTTTAAAGCCTGGATTCAGCAACTCGCTTGCTCTTTCGTGTTTAAACGCTTCCTTGAAGAAGCGTGAGCTATCCTGCGTCCAGTAGCTGGTAGCGTACTTAAGCTACTAGACTAGCCCTTACTTGATTACAGTAAGTAGCCGCCTACTTAATTAAGTAACGGCGGGCTCAACAAAAAGGGACAAACACGTTGGACTTGTTTGTCGATCCTCATCCCTGCGTCTCAGGGAGGCATGTCGAAGGATGGAATCAGAGAGGCCTTGGCGATGTTGGAGAAGATGAAGGCGGGCAATGGCGGTTCAGTGGAAGAGTCGGAAGCGCAGCTGGAAAAGTTGAAGAAGATCGAGGGCATGCTAAAGGAGGGGGGGTTGGATGGGTTGACCATGCCAATTTCAAAGTGCATACGATTTCCACAGTTTAACCCAATAGTCGCATTATGCCGCATTTGATCGCTGTAATTCCACTCTGTTGGATTCTTGCTTCGCCCAATCGGCTTTCAAGGATGCTCAAGGCAGTGACACCGAGACCGAGGATGGCTCATCGGGATCTGAAACTTCTTCAGATAGCTCAACAGGCACATCTTCTTCAGATGACGCCTCCAGCTCATCCTCGGATGAGTCGGCCAGCTCGTCCTCGGATGAATCGGCCAGCTCGTCCTCGGATGAATCGGCCAGCTCGTCCTCGGATGAATCGGGAAGCTCAGATGCCTCAACAGTCTCCTCCATCTCATCTGAGAGTTCTGCCACATCAGCTCCTTCCGTAGCTGCCATGCTGGCCCCCACCCCGGCCGCGGTGCCGGTCGTGGCGCCGGCCGCGGTGCCGGCCGTGGCGCCGGCCGCTGTGCCGGCCCCCACACCAGTCACTGGCGTTGGTGCCCTCGGTGGTAGCTCTTCAGATATGATGAAGAAGTTCATGAACGGCATTTCTGGAACGATGCTCGATGACCTGATGGGCTCCGTCGCAAAGAATGATGAGCTTTGCTTGCAAGTGGGTTTGATTTTCTTGGAAGAGTTACCTGTAGGCTTCATGTTGAACTGAAGCAGTAGCTCCTGAAATGTAGACCTAATTGGGTTTGGTTGCTTGCTGCACCTGTTCCTTTGGTTCGATTCAACAGATTTCAGCCGCTTCAACACCTTGACCACTTGTCAGGCACATGGTATTCCATACTGCAGCACTGGCCACAAACACCAATGTGTCTTAGCTGGGTGATGGACGACTTGACCGTTGAAAACGAGGGAAACCGAGACGTCGCGGGCGTCATGGGCGCGTCATGGGCTCCGAACGTTTGTCGTCCTGCAGTTGTTCTCATGCCGAGAGCGTAGCATCCTTAGCACAACTTTAGAACAGGTCGCTCAAGCCCAACGCAGCTTTTCTACGACTGCAGCAAGGTATTAAATGCCTAGCTTTCGTCCCCCTTAGGACTCTTCAGGGCTTTGCAGCCGCAAATGCTGCGGTGATCAATCACATGCTAGTAAGGCACTTGTTACTAGAAAAATGACCTCCACTTAATAGCGATGGCCTCCACCTAGTAGCGATGGCCTCCACTTAATAGCGATGGCCTCCACCTAGTAGCGATGGCCTCCACTTAATAGCGATGGCCTCCACCTAG